CACCAATGATGGGGCACTATCCCCCCCCCACACACTGACACCAATGATGGGGCACTATTCCTCCCTCCACTGACACCAACGATGGAACACTATTCCTTCCCCCACTGACACCAATGATGGGGCACTATTCCTCCCACTGACACCAATAATGGGGCACTATTCCTCCCCCCACTGACACCAATAATGGGGCACTATTCCTCCCCCCACTGACACTAATGATGGGGCACTATTCCACGAACTGACACCAATGATGGGGTATTATTCCTCCCACTGACACTAATGATGGGGCACGATTCTTCCCACTGACACCAATGATGGGGCACTATTCCTCTTACTGACACCAATGATGGGGCACTATTTCGCTCCATAAGACACACTTGGGGGGAAATGTCTGTGCGTCTTATGGAGCGGCCGGCCCAGTTTTCCCGCCGCGGTTGTATGTCCGCAGTCTCTGGTCATCTCCTGTACTATGTCCGCAGTCTCTGGTCATCTCCTGTACTGTGTCCGCATTTGTTCATAGTTTTTTTTTTTTTTAAACTATAGTCCGGCCCTCCAACGGTCTGAGGGACAGTGAACTGGCCCCCTGTTTAAAAAGTTTGAGGACCCCTGCTGTAGTATGAACCTTGCCTGTTTTGTGGTACAATGAAAGGGCTCTAGAGCAACTGTCTACAACTTGCTCCTGTAGTCTATAAAGAACAATAACCTATAGCAACCAAACATTTCAATTCCTTGCTTTCTGACAAGTTAAATATGTTATGCCATGAATTCTTATCAAGCCTATTAATGCTTAATGGCACTCAAAACACGGGTCGCAGTCGCAAAACACACAAATACGCACCAGAACATGCTTTGCAAACATGTAAGACTCGCTGCAATAAAAACGTGTAGGAGCTACTCTGGTGCATTTGTCATGCGTAGGGCAGCCTATATATTTGAATTAGCTGCCCTATGCTGTTGTGCGACATACGTGCACAAAAAGGTGAAAAAACTTGATGCATTGCGCAGGTGTGAAGGGGACAAAATGATGATAAAAATAGAACAAAGTATCTATTTATAAATGCTACACAGTAATACCTTGGTTTACGAATTTAATTCATTCTGCAGGACTTTTTTTATAGCGAAAAATTTGTAAACCGAAATGCCGTTTCCCATAGGAATGCATTGAAAATCAATTAATCCGTTCCAGAGGTCAGAAAAAAGTAAGCGCTACTAAAATATTGCATGAGTTATTTTGCATGCGGTATTTTAGTAGTGACAACCATGTGTTAATTTTTCAGCTGTCAGCAGGGTTCCCCTACTGACAACTGAATGTAAAAGAATTGCCGGCAATTAAAAAAATAATTAAAAAAATTTAAAAAAACGGCATGTGGTCCCTCCTCCCATTCGTACCAAGCCCTTTGGGTCTGGTATGGATTTTGAGGAGAACTCCCACACCAAAATTAAAAACAAAAATGGTGTGGTGGTCCCCCCAAAATCCATACTAGACCCTTATCTGAGAATGCAGAACGGCAGGTCAGGAAAGGGGGGGGGGGGGGAAGAGCGAGTGCCCTCCCCCCTCTCCTGAACCATACCAGGCCACATGCCCTCAACATGGGGGGTGCTTTTGGTTCTGCTCCCGACGATGGCTTACAGCCGTCTGCTACTTCACCCAAGTGAGCCCGCCCCATGTGACATCACTGATGTCACATGAACTTCACCCCCAGTAATGGAAACTGTGCATTCCGTCACACACCTGAGGGTGGGGTCACATACGTGATGTCCCTGGGTGGCCCCGCCCCTTACATATTTAAGAACTGTCAAACCACTGGAGCAGGTAGCTGGCTGGAAGCCATCATCGGAAGCACAGCCTTTTTTTTTTTTTAATTATTTGTTTGGGTCGGCAGCGGCGGGCATCGTGATTGATGTTGGATCTACTGTGGGGGACATTCTTTTCGTTTTTCTTTTATTAAAGGACTTGTCAAAGACAAGACCCCCACGCCATTTTTTTTTTTATTTTGGCATTGGAGTTCCCCTCAAAATCCACACCAGACCTGAAGGGCTTGGTATGGATGGGAGGGGGGACCCCATACTGTTTTTTTTATTTATTATGGTGCCAGTTTTTAAATGTAATTACCGTTTTTTTCTTCACCATAGCTCAAAAATTCAGTTGTCACTTTCCCCCCAGCTAAAAGAAAGAGAGTTTTTTCTTTTAGTTTATTTCCCCGAGTTAAGAGAATGTTTCTTTTTAGTTTCTTAAAAGAACAAAAAGTTTTTGTTAACTCCGGAGAAAGTGACAGCTAATTCTGTGAGCTATAGTGAAGAAAAAAAAAAAGCCGGCAATTGCAGTTAAAAATCGGCACCGACATACACTTCGTATTGTGAAAAAAATTCGTAAAAAATTTGTAAACCGAGGCATTATTTTCAATGGATTTTCATTCGTAAATTAAAAATTATGTTAACCGAGGCGTTTGTAAACCGAGGTATTACTGTATTTGCTGTGTTTATAGTACTATAGTAAATTTGCTTTGCTCACCAAACACAGTAATTTTTAGGTTGGTACATTAATATTTAATCACTTGCCCTCCAAAAGGTTTTACCCTTTCAAGACCAGGCCATTTTTTGCTATTCAGCACTGTGTTACTTTAACTGGGAATTGCTCGGTCATGCAACACTGCACGCAAAATAAATTTATATAATTTATTTCACACAAATAGAGCTTTCTTTTGGTGGTATTTGATCACAACTGAGGTTTGCTATATAAATGAAAATTTTGAAAAAAAAAAAAATGTTTTCTACTTTGTTATAAATATATGCATTCAATAAAAACAAATTTTTTTACTACTTGGTCTTTGGTAAAAAAAAAATCCCACTATGTATATATTACTTGGTTTGTGTGAAATTTATAGCGTCTACCAACTATAGTGTGTGTATATATATATTTATATATATATATATATATATATATATATATATATATATATATATATATATATATATATTTGAAAATTGATCAGTCCTGATGTACTGACGTCCTTCCCCATTTCTTGAGGCCCTTAAAATGCCAGGATAGCACAAATACCCTTAAATGATCCCTTTTTGTAAATCAGACTGTTCAGATGTTTAGTAAGAGGCATGGCGTGTTTGGTTTTTTTTTTTAAATGAAATTAAATAGAATGTGTTTTTTTCACATTCTCACCAGTGCAGTACAGCAGCATTGTCATATGACTGGTGTGGTGGTGATCAGGGACATTGACTGGTGACAGTATGCCAAAAAAAAATATATAACTTTTTATTCAATATTTTTTTGAAACATTTTTTTAAAAAAAAATTCTCTTTTTTCTACTTTTTCTCTCCATTTTTTTTGCTATCTTTTTTTTTTAACATTTTTTCACCATAGTAACACTACTACTCTGGGGAGTGATCAGGGATTTTTATTTACACTTTGATTGTTGTTACAGTGATGATCACTGTAACAGCAATGTATTTCAATGTTTTTAATAAAGATTTTCAACAGTACATATCATTTGTTCCATATATGTTGCAGGTACAAATAGAACAAAGAACATACAGAAAAACAGAAACAAACATCTCCCACATATAGGGAGAGGAGTGCAGTATACAAAAATTGGCAACAGTTTTGTTATTAGAGAATACCCCTTGTGAACAGGTCAAACAGCACATTAGCAGGAGCACCCGCCATGCAGCACATGCCAGGAATCCACTAAAACAATCAAAACCTAGCAGGGCTATATGAGTAACAAAATAATAGCAATGTTTTGAACTATCATGAATGGGTTACATTCATGTCAGCTGTGATTTTTACATTGGCCCACAGCTATCACATGGTACAGGGTGCTGTGAATAGCCCAGGTACTATGTGATAGCTGTGGGCCAATCACAGCATCACTCTATAGGAATCACAGCTGTTCTGAATGAAATTCATTCATAACAGCTTTGTTGGCATTGTGATCATGTGATCACACAGCAATCACATAATCCTTGGGACCCAAAGTGGTGGGGTACCGGAAGCCAATATCCACTGTGTCCGTTGAACATAGTGGTCGTGGGAGAGGTGTACTGCATGCACTAGGCTGGATGGCGTACATATATGTGATCCAGCCTGCTCGTGCCACCAGTTTGCAGTAATGTACTGTGGACAGATGGACACTAGTTAATTTATCTTACAGTAATCTTTTGTTTGTATTGCATAATTTGCAAACAAGGTACTCTAAATTCTCATAGTTGCTTGATTCAGTATACTGTGGTACTATAGTATATTTGGCACATATTGTTTTATTATAATCTATCAGGTGAGACACTGGCTAAAAGGTTTGTGGACTGTGTATATGTGTCATCTAGGTTTCTCACATACACATGAGGGGTTCTGGGCTTTATGTGTAATGAGGAGAATTTTTTTTTTTTTTTCCAGAATCTTAAGTCCTGTCCTAGAGCACAGAGGCTTTGTAAAGCTTTGGGTGTGATAAAAGCCCACATTTTACCGGGTAGCCAGAAAGTCCACACTAGGAGGCATACGGCCCTGTATGTACTGCTTGGAATAGTATCCAGCCACATACAGACCGGCACATATTTCCTGTCTTTGATTTTAACCAGCTGCACGAGGCCTTAATTAGTCTCATGAGCTTTTTTAAATGGGAGGTGACTGATACTCAGGGCTTCCTCACTCTGCTGTGACAGCCTGATGCTGGATGAAAAAACTGAATGCTGATCGAACACTAAGAAGGTACAAGTGCTGTAAGTTTGCTTTGTGGAACCCATACTATTAGTCAAGAACTGACATAGTTTAGTTAGTAGCTCGGATGTTCAGATGTTTTGTTTGTCTTATGCTATGAGCTTGTTGTACAAAGCTCTCCTGCACTGAAACAGTGTTTTCTGCCTTGCTGAATAAAAGTGCAGGACAAACCTGCTTAGACTGTTCCTGGGTGCTACTGTCTCATGCATGGTTTACCACTGTCAATACCAGTTGAGCCCCTCCCTATTACAATTTAAGTATATGACATTACCTGCTGATCCGTCTTAACTGGACTGTCCTGTGAAGCTTGCTTTCTTATAGCTGTTGGCTGGATGGTACTGCTAGCCAGAGTGGCAATAATTTGTCCTTGGGCATTCAGCAGAAGCTGAGGTGTCACTGCCTGGACCACACTTGGAGCCGTGACAGCAGCAGCCGCAGCCCCTGCTGTGATTCCTGGAGTGTTCAGCAACCATGGTAGAGTGCCAATCACCTGTACAGAAAAAAAACAGATTTAAGTCTCTTATTGGTAAGCTTCTATTAGAGAACTGTTTCTATTTACAGCAATACAAAAGCTTAAAGTGGAAATAAAGGTAGATAATTAAAAACTATGAGCAGGCAGCCCGTTTTGTAGAAGAGACATGAAATGTTTCTTCTGCTAAAGCAAGCACTTACCTGCCTGCTCGCAGTCTTCTATTGAATGCAAACGCACCTTAGCATGCATTCTTGGCACATTCATCCTGTGCCAGAATGACGTCATTCTGCCACCGACCAATCAAGAGGCTGAAATCCTAGCACCTGGAAATAGCCAGGGAGAAGATGACAATGGCTGGCGAGGGATTTAACCACCGCATTGCTGGAATGAAGAGGTGAGTATTTCTCTTAGTTTAGTTCAACTTTAATGGGGAAAATGCAGGCAACTGTAGTCATGTAACACTGATTGGGGGTTAAGATGCTGCAAGCTGAAAATTTACCAGTACACAACAAACCAAACGTGTTCAGGTCACCTTAAATATAAGTTTAACATCTAGTTCAGTGGTCGGCAAGCCGCGGCTCGCGAGCCACATGCGGCTCTTTACACGCTTTAATGCGGCTCTTGTGTGCCGGGCGCCCGCTCCCCTCCCTCCTCTCGGGCGGCAGGGACTCTGCAGCAGCGTGATCCAAAAAAAAAAACAGCCAGGGCAGCGCGCTCAAATGCAATGATTGGCCAGTCTCGCTGCCACTCACATCCTGATAGCCAGTGATTGGCTGTCAGGATGTGTGTAGGCGGGGCAGCGTGACGAACGTGAGAGGAGCTAGGCTCCTCTCACAGTCCGCCCTGAAGACCGGAACGGCGCGGGAGCACGGCGAGAGGAACGCGCAGAGCAAAGGTAAGTGAATTGACACAGGGGGGACTTGGCTTACTACTTGCTACTTACTTACTACTACTATATGAGGGATGAATTAATATGGGGGATGAATTACTATGGGGGATGAATTACTATGGGGGATGAATTACTATAGGGGGGATGAATTACTATATGGGGGATGAATTACTATATGGGGGATGAATTACTATATGGGGGATGAATTACTATATGGGGGATGAATTACTATAAAAACTTATTGAAACTAAAAACAGTGTACCATCCTATGTATTTTCAGTTTTAAAAATGTGTCTCTCAAAATAAATTTCAATCGTGGTTTTGGCGAGATTTGGCTCAGTTGAAAAAAAAGGTTGCCCACCACTGATCTAGTTCAACCATTGAAAAAAAAAAAAAAGTTATAATCCTATACCCACAATTGATCCAGAGGAAGGCAAAAAACCCAGCAAAGCATGAGCCAATTTACTCCTGCAGGGGACAAAAATTCCTTCCTGATCCCCCAAGAGGCAATAGGATATTCCCTGGATCAACTTTACCTATAAATGTTAGTATCCAGTTATATTCTGTGTATCTAGGAAAGAATCCAGGCCTTTTCTAAAACAATCCACTGAGCTGGCCAGAACCAACTCTTGAGGGAGTCTATTCCACATTTTCACAGCTCTTAGGCTACTTTCACACTGATCCTCTGCAAAAACACAACAAAAAATGCATAGGCGTTTTTACTGCGCTTTTGCTGTGCTTTCTGTTTTTAAAGGACACATGACTTAAACACTGCTCCAAAACCGCTTCCCAGAGGCATTTTTGAGGAGCTTTTCAGGCCTTTTCCATTGATTTGAATGGGAAGAAGTGTTTCTGGGGCGTTTTTTTTAAAGTCACCAAAGATACGGCAAGCAGGAGTTTTTACACCGCAATGCAAGCACAATGCCTGATTGTGAAAACATAAATAGATATACATTCACATACATAGTGAAGCATTTTTTCTTGAGCTTTTCAGGTGCATTTTTAATGCAAAAACACTTCAAAAACTCCTCATTGTGAAAGTAGGAATTTTGTAAAAGTTTTTGCGTTAAAAAAAAGCACCTGAAAAGCTAAAAAAAAATGCTTTCTGTGTATGTGAATGTATATCTATGTGTGTTTTCACACTGAGGCATTGTGCTTGCGGAGCGGTGTATAAATATGAATAAATTCAGTTCCTCTAATCTTTCCTCATAGCTGAGCTCCTCCATGCCTCTTATCAGTTTGGTTGCCCTTCTCTGTACTTTCTCCAGTTCCCCAATGTTCTTTTTGTGAATTGGTGCCCAAAACTGAACTGCATATTCCAGATGAGGTCTTTGATTGACTAATGATTTGTACAGGGGTAATATGATATCTCTCTCTCTCTGGAGTCTATACCTCTTTTAACCTCTTGCCGTCCGCCTGCTGTTTATAAACGGCAGCTTGGCATTGGCAGTCCAAGGTCGGGTTGCCGTTCCTAAATGGCACCCGCCTTTTCTAGCTGTGCGCGCTCCCTAGGAGCGCGCACCACCGCGATCCGGTGTCCGCTGTGTCCTCCGGACACAGTGAAACACCGATCGTTGGACGGAACCTCTTTACGAGGTCCCTGATCAGCTTGTGATCACTGATTGGCAAATCAGTGATCACATGCAAAGTAGTAAGCAAGATGTCACTTGTGACATCATTGCTTACTACGTGTGAAATCTGTGAATGATCACAGAGGTCACATGGTACAAGGCTATTCACAACAGCCTTGTACCATGTGACAAGCTGTGACCAATCACAGCTCACTCAGTATTTCTCAATGACTGTAAGAATGCAGACAGAGAGAAAGAGAAATGATTGCTTTTACATCCTATATGGGTGTAAAAGCAATCAGTGTAAAAAAAAAAAAAAAAAAATCTTCATCACCCCCACAAGTAGTACAGTGTCACCATGGTGACACTGTACTGCTAGGGTGACAGTATGTAAAAATAAAAAATAAAAATAAAAAATAATATAAAAAAAAATAAATTAAAAATGTAAAAAAATTCAATTTTTTAAAATTATAATGTTTGGTTATAAACTAATTTGGGTTTTTTTTTTTTTACTAAAAAAAAAATAACGGAAAAATTTTGGCCAAGATTTAGGATGAAATATTATTTATTTGCAAAATTTTATAAAAAAAAAAAACTACTTTTTTTTCAAAATTTTTGGACTTTTTCATTTACATAGTAGGAAAAAAATAAAAATCCCAGCGGTGAATAAATACCACCAAAATAAAGCTTTATCTGTCTCAAAAAAAATGGTAAAAAATTCATATGGGTACAGTATTGCATGACCCGCGCAATTGTCATTCAAAGTGTGATAGCGCTGAAAGCTGAAAGTTGCCCTGGACAGAATTATTTTAAAAGTGTCCGGACAGGAAGTGGTTAATTACAAGAGAGGATTTTGCTTGCTTTAGAAACTATCACAGCTTAGGATTAAGCATGCCATTATTAAGCTTGTGATCTACCAGAACTTCCAGATCCTTCTCCACCATTGATTCCCCCAGTTGTACTCCCCTAGTATGTATGATGCATGCATATTCTTAGCCCCCAAGTGTATAACTTTACATTTATCAACATTAAACCTCATTTGCCACATAGTTGCCCAATTAAACAGTGCATTGAGGTTGGCTTGTAAATTGAAGACATCCTGTAAAGACGTCATATTCCACTGCACAGCTTGGTGTCATCTGCAAAGACTAAAACTGTATTTTTAATCCCAGACCATATATCGTTTATATATATAAATATATATATATATATATATATATAATATATATATATGTATTAAAAAGTAAGGGTCCCAACACTGAACCTTGGAGTACACCACTGACAACCCTAGACCATTCAGAGTATGAATCATTAACCACTATTCTCTGATACGATCTTTTAGCAACTTTTCTATCCTTTTACATACGGATTTTTCCAAGCCTGTAGACTTTACCTTACACATTAGCTGTGTGAGGGGAACTGTGTCAAATTCTTTTGCAAAATCCAAGTATACCACGTCCACCGCCACCCCTCTTGTCCAAGGTTTTGCTCACCTCCTCAAAAAAGAAATCAGATTTATGTGACAGCTTCTGTCTTTCATGAATCCATGCTGTCTGTTGCTTAACCACTTCAATACCTGGCACTTTTACCCCCTTCCTGCCCAGACCAATTGTCAGGTTTCAGCGCTCTGACATTTTGAATGACAATTGCACACTGTACCCAAATTCAATTTTTATCATTTTATTCACACAACTAGAGCTTTTTTTGGTGGTATTTAATCACCACTGGGGTTTTTATTTTTTGCTAATAAAAACAAAAAAAACAAAAACAAGTTCTTTGTTTCTGTTATAAAAGTTTGCAAATAAATAATTGTTCTTCATAAAATTTAGGCTAAGTTGTATTCTGCTACTTTTTTTTGGTGAAAATAACCCAAATCAGTATTTATTATTTAGTCTGTAGGAGCTCACAAACTATGGGATATATCTGAAAATTGATCAATCCTGAAATACTGACAGCCAATCTAATTTCTTGAGGCCCAAAAATGTCAGAACAGTACAGATATCGCCCAAATGACCCCTTTTTTGCAAAATAGACAGTCCCACGTATTTCATAAGAGGAATTGCAAGTTTTTTGAAGTTGTAATTATTTTGTCATAATTTTTTGGAAAATTAAGAAATTAAAAAAATTATTTTCACAAATTTTTTTCTACATACTATCACCAGTGCAGTACAGCATCAACATATAACTGGTGTGGCGGTGATCAGGGAGATTGACTGGTGACAGTACAAAAAAAAAAAATTGATTGGCCCAGCCTGTGCATGTGATCACTGTGACGATTCACAGCTAGACACACTTGTATACAATGGATGGCATGAAAGGAAGCCATCCATTGTTTACAACTGTCATGTGACCTGCTGTGATTGGTCACAGTAGGTCACATGGTACTGGCAATGGGGCTGGTACACAGATCTGTCTTGGGCTGTGTCCGAGGTACACAGCTGATGACAAATCTCGCCACAGCAAGGAGCGATCCAGGTAGGACGTCATATGACGCTCTCCCAGATCGACGAGAGTCCCGCCCGGCCGTCATTTTACTATAGGCCAGGTGGGAAGTGGTT